CCAGAGGGGATGGCCACGCCGCAATCCCTTCTCCTTTCTCCTCTCAGGATCTTGGGCACGCATGCACATGTGCCCGGTGTGAGTTTAAGCCACCAGATCCGGGACTCGAACCACAGTTGACTACATGGAAGTCCAGCGACATAGCCATTACGCCAGCTGCTGGTCCCTTGATGGCAATTCTGTTGAACAATCCTGCCTAAGTAATTTTGTAAAACCCATACATCCAAGGATGTAGACGAAGTAGCTTATTCAAGGGGTCGTCCTGTAGTTAGAGTATAGCAGCAGGATTTAACCCAGGTCTGCATGAATTCTAAATCGAGCTTTTGCCCAACATACCCACAGTCCTCCTCCAGCTGTGATAAATTGGGGAGAGGGGTTAATTTATTAGGGAAAGGGAAGAAAAGATTAGGGAAAGTGGACATTACCTCCTCCTTTGAATCTTTGTCAATGGACACGCAGGCCACTGTGGGAAGACATTGAGAAGGGGTGGACTCAGGAGTGGAAAGAGGGAAGGGAGGGGGTACAGGTGTCAGGCTTTGGGGACAGGCGGTCTGACAACTGGGGGTCAAGGTCAGGCGGGGCTCATACTCACCAACCCAGCCTAGAGCTTTGATGAGTCCGAGAAGGAGAAAGGCAGACAGGAAAAGGCCAATGCCGTCCTCAAGGGAGGGCCCAGCAAGGCCTAGCAGGTGGAAGGGGCAGATTGAGCCGTCTCTTCTCAGGTGTCGGCCTGGCCTTCCCAGTACATCCAGGTCTTACCTATCACCCTGGCACACCCCAGCTCTTACCTGCTACCTCCAGGGTGACCTCTGAGCTGCGCATGGAGGCACGCAGGTTGGGGTGATGGACACGACAAATGTAGCGTTCCCCATGCTGGTCGGTGGTGACCCGAGGCAGCTGCAGATGCCCAGAGAGGCTGACGGAGCCGTCAGAATGGTGGCGCAGGGCGGAGAGCCAGCTCTGCCCTTCAGCCTTTCGAGAGCTGCCGTCCGGGCCACCCCGGACCTCCCACTCCACCTCCAGGCCCTGGGAAGGGTAGAAGTGGGACACAAGGCAGAGCAACTCTGGAGGTGCCTCTCCCGGGACAGCCCAGACGACAGGTGCTGGCTTCAGGGACACTTTGGGAGGCTCTGGAGAAAGAGTAGAAAATAAGCATGGGAGAACCAATCCCCGCTGCCTTCCCAGTTTCTCCACACCTGATGTGGGTTCTGCAGCGATGAACCCACTGGTGCTTCCCAAGAATCCCCATCTCGAAGCCCCTCAGGTCTCCAGGGATGTCCATCTGCCCACATTCATGCACAGGCACCTTCCCACTGCCCCATCACGGTGCCCACGTGAGCCCAGCACCCACCCTCTACCCGTGGGGACCTCTATCACCACTCACTGTACACAGCAAGCTCCACCGCGACCTGTCCTTGCAGGTATGGCAGGTGTACGGTGGCCAGGTAGGTGCCCTCCTGAAAAGGCCGGACTGCAGGCAGCCAGAAGGTCCCATTCCCGGTCCACGGGCCCCACGGTTCATCATCATCCCAAGCAGCAAAGGCCACTGCCCCTTCTCGGGCCGCTGGCATCTGCCTGCTCAGCCCGGGAGTTGCAGCCAGGAGTAGGTGCCCCTTTCCCCAGTGCTGGCGCCGCCACTCCAGCCCGAAGGGAGGGGGGCCTGAGCCCAGAGATGCAGCAGCCTCGGAGGTGGGGGGCATGTAGGCAAAGCTCAAGTCCAACATGGCATCCTGTCCCAGTCGGATTCGAGCCACAGGAGTGTGGGTGAGGACAGTCAGCACCACTGGAAAGACAAGAAGGGAGAGATGGAGGGCGAGAGGCAGAGGAGGACGGAACTCCCATTTTCCCACCCCTCCTTCTCTGGTGGTCACCAGCTTCCAGCCCTCCCTGCAAACCCTCTCAGCTCCAGGGCTGGGTGGGACTGTGTGACTAAGGGAGCAGAGAGGAACTGGGGAGAATAGGGCAGTGAGGGGGTACAGCTCTGAAGCCCGCTCCAAACACAGCCTCTGGGGCCAGTGGGATCTGAGAACACTTCTGACACACCCAAACCACTCCAGTCTTCAAGCGTGCCTGTCAAAAGAGCCAGCCTCTCAATCAGCGAACAGAGGCAGACCCGTGACTGCCAATCCTCTGGTCCTACACAAAGCACTTACTAACCCTGGAAGGTTCTAGCTCCAGCTTAGCCCTGACCACAGCCGTCTATGATCTACTGGAGCAGTGTCGTGCAGTGGTTAAGTGCCTGGAGCCTGGCTACCCCAGTTCAAGTCAGCCCTGCCATTTAAATGTCCTTGGGCATTACTTTACTTTTCCCCGGCTCAGCTTCCTGATCTCTCAAATAAAGATGACAATAACAGTACTGACCTCTTGGTGTTTTGTTAAATCACTTTTTTTTTTTTTAGATTTATGCTGCAGGGTACAAGCACTTTCCAGAGAAAGGCCAAGGAAAAGAGCGGGAAATGCCCCAGGGGGATGACCACACAGCAGTCCTCCTCTACTCTCCTCTCAGAACTTTGGGCATGCACACATACGCACCCGACATGATTTTCAAGCTGCTGGGTCCCATTTAGTTGGCCCTGTGGGATAACCACAGGGCTTTAACCACCATGTCACCTGCTGGGCCCACGAGTTAATCATTTAATACTTCTATTCAGTTTAGGATTTTAGGAAACAAAGACACCTAATTATGAAAGGTTCTAAAACAGTGCTTGGGACAGATTACACCTCACCGTCTGCCAGACAAGCTCAACATGCCCTAGCTCAACTGCTTCTCTAACATTCCCCCACCCTGCTTTCAATGCCTACCATCCCTGCCTTTCACAAATGCTCACCACCAGCCCTCCAGACACTAAGGCACTCAGACTCCTTCCTCTCATTCATTCATTGAACGATTATGTTTTAGGTTTTTGCCATAGGGTGCCTGCGCTTGCCAGAGAGGTAAAGTGAGAAACCAACCCCCTTCCAGGAGGGATGGCTATGCCACAATCCCTTCTCCTCCAGTCTCCTCAGGATTTTGGACATGCACACAGATTTGCCTGTGTGATTTTCAAGCTGCCGGGTCCAGGACTTGAACTGCAGTAGGCTATGTCAGAGTCCAGCACCTTAACCGCCACATCACCTGCTGGCCCCCAATGACCAAATTTTTGTTTTGTTTGTGTGTTTGCCAGAGAATGTGTGTACTTGTGAGAGAGGGAGAGTATGAAGTGCCCACCCCCATGGGGAATGGTCACAATCTCTTCTCTTCCATTTCTCCATCCTACTGAGACTTTAGGCGTGAACGTACACATGCCCAGTGTATTTTCCAAACCACCAGGACCAGGATAAAAACTGCATGGTCAGTCATGGGATCTGGCTTCTGCAACCACCAGGTCACAGGACTTAAATTTTTTTAATGTATTTATTTTAGATTTATTTTATTTATTTTTCAATTTGACCAGAGAGGGACAGAGTGAGAGAGAGAGAGAGAAAGTGAGAAAGCAAGCTGCCAGGTTCAGGACTTGAACCGCTGTCAGCCATGTGGGACTCCAATGCCCTTAACCACCATGCCACCTGCCAGTCCCACAGAATTTTATTTTTTAAATTTAATATGGTGTGCACTTGCCAGAGAGACAGAGAGATATATAGAGAAATAGGAAATGGAACCAGCAGATGGCATAATGGTTGCATCCCTGGACTCCAACATGGCTGACTGCAGTTTGACTCCTGGATGGGACGGCTTGAAACTCATGCTGGGTGCCCAAGATTCCGAGAGGAGAAGGGATGGCAGTGTGGCCAACTCCTGGGGGAGGACGGGAGTATTCTCACTTTCTGTCTCTGTCTCTCCAAGTGTTTCTCACTTTCTCTCTCCAAGCGCATGCACCCTATAGCAAAGATCTCTAATTTAAAAAAAGAGGGAAAATGCAAAAGCACCTCCCCGGGGGAACAGTGACTACACCTCAATCCCTTCTCCTCCATTCTCCTCTCAAGATTTTCAGCACTTACGCCCATCTCCCAGGATGTTATTCAAGCCCCAAGCCCCAATCTAGGACTGGAACAAGCAATCAGCCATATTGGATCCCATCACCTTAACCACCATGCCATGACACTGGCTATTCCCCGCTTGCTTGCTTGCTTGCTTGCTTGCTTGCTTGCTTTTCTTTTTTTTCTTTTTTTTTTTTTTTTTTTTCTTTTGGGTGTTTGAAAGACAGAGAAAGAAAAAGAGGGACCAGTACTTGGCATAATGGCTATGTCACTGGACTCCCATGTATGCAACTGTGGTTGGAGTCCTGGACCTGGTGGCTTAAACTTATGCTGACGCGTGTACACGTGTGCCCAAGATTTTGAGAGGAAAATGAAAGAGAAGGGATTGTGGCGTGGCCATTGCCCCTGGGGGACGATTTCTCACTTTCTGTCTCTCTTTCTGGCAAGCGCATGCGCCCTATAGCAAAAACGTCTCAAAAAAAAAAAAAAGAAAGAAAGAAAAAGAAAAAGAGAGAGGGAATGTGAGAATGGCCACAGAACAATCCCATCTCCTCCATTGTCCTCTGGGAATTTTGGTCACACACGCACACACACCTGGCATGTTTTTCAAGCCTCTGGGTCCAAGACTTGAATGGCAAAGTCATCCATGTGGGATCCACACTTGAACCACACCACTGCCTGCTGACTCCACCCCAAAACATTACTGAGCACGTAGGGTGCTCAAGATGCCGTGGAAGAGGACAGAGTAGGGAAGTCAGGCAGTCCCTGCCCTCAAATTCCTTACAATCTAACAAAAATGAGTAATTACCCAAAATAGTGTCCTACGTGCTTATCCCCACCAGAACCTAACAGATCTCACATCTGTTTCCAAGCAGGTTCTCACCCATGTGCATCTGGACAGTTACAGCAGGCTCCTCTCTGGTCTCCCTCCCCTCAGTCTCTGTCTCGTTCAGTTCCCCCACACACACACACTGTGGGCAGACAGCACGGCTAGACGTCTGATCGGGGATCGCCTGTTTCACAATCCCGCTGCCTAGGAAGTCAACAGCTATCGGCACCAGCTAGAGCCGGAGGGCCTGGGTTCCATTCCTAGTCCTGCTTCCTACAAGCTGTGTGTCCTTGGGTAAGTTATCTAACTGCTCTGTGTCGTAAGACTTCTTTTTCTTTCTTTTTTTCTGTTATTGTTGTTGCCATAAGGTGTGTGCATTCGCAGAAGAGAAACAGAGTGAGTGAGAGAGCAAGAAAGTGAGAAAGCATCCCCCAGGGAGGATGGCCATGCCACAGTCCCTTCTCCATCCTCCTCTCAAGATTTTGGGCACACACATGTGCCTGGCATGATTTTCAAGCTGTTAGGTCCAGGACTTGAACCGCACAGACAACCATGTGAGATCCAGCCCCCTTAATCACAATGCCACCTGGTTGGCCCGTATCAAGTTTTCTTAATCCAACATAGTAAGACTAATATTACCTATAACCTAGCATTGTTGCGAGGAATAAATGAGATTATGCATATGAAGTGCTACTTCCTCCCAGAAAGGTGCTCCAGGTAGAAGCAATCATATTTTTCTCTTGTAACTATCTTTATGTTACTTTTAATCCAGAAATACACATTTGCATTGTTTAAAAAAAAAAAAGAGAAAAAAAGAAAAAGAAAGGACCCACAGGATTAAAAAACAAAACCTCAAGGTTTTACAAGGTTTAACCCTTAAATTAACAGTGATCTTCAATAAGAGTTACTGAAAGCAATTTTAGGCCTGCATCCTGTAAACTATACTCTAAATTGTACATACACCAGGGCCAGAACAGTAAAGGAAAAGTTCTAGCTGTTTTTGTAGCTTCTATACAAAAGTTTTTGCTTTTCTGTTAAAAAAAAAAAGGTAGGTAGGACCAGCAGGTGGAGTGGTTAGGCTGGCTGAATCCCCACATGGCCAGCTGAACAGTTCCAGTCCCAGACGCAGATCTAGCAGCTTAAAAAAAAAGCACCGGGTGCATGTGCATGTGTCCCCAAAATCCCAAGAGGAGAATAGAGAAGAGATATGCAGTGGCCATCGCCCCTGGGAAGTCTTTCTTACCTTCTCTCTTTCTCCAGAACCGGAGCCCTTTAGCAAAAAAATTTTTTTAAAAAGTCCATTGCTGGACTCCCACATGCAATTCAAGTCCTGGACCCGGTGACTTGAAAAGCATGTCAGGCCTATGTGCGTGCGTGTCTAAGATCCCAGGAGGAGAACAGAGGAAAGGGAATTAGGTGTGCCCCCCCACACCCCGGATGACTTCTCACTTTCCCTCTCACCGTCTCAGTCTCTCTTTCTGGAAAGTGCACACACCCTAAGGTGAAAACCTCTGAGAAAAGAAAGAAAGGAAGGAAGAAAGAAGAAGGAAGGAGGGAGGAAGGAAAAGAGAAGGGCATGGTGGAGCTGGCACCACGGCCTAGTGGTTAAGTCCCACGAGGCCAACCACGCGGTTGGCATCCAGCATGGGAAGTTTGAGTGTGAGTGAGTCCCCAATCCCGACAGGGTGGGAAAATGGAGACGGGACTGCAGAATAACCATGCCCCACGGAGGGGCGCTTTCTCCTTCTCCCTCTCTCCCTGTCTTTCTCCAGTGTCCACATATACCCTCTGGCTTATAGACAATAACAAAAAAAAGTGAATGGGATGGTAACCAATAATTGTAATGTATTATTGAAAAAACTTGAAACCCAAATAGAATCTAGGATTTCATTACCAATTTATTATTTTTTTACTTTTATTTTTTATGAGAGAGAGAGAGAAGGTACACCCGTGGGGAGCGGCCACATTACAACTCCAACTCTTTCATCTTTTCCTTCTGTCTGGACCCCGGGCACACACGCACATGCACCCAGAGCACCTCTGAAGCCGCCAGGTCTGGCCTAAACTGCACAGTTAGCCATGTGGGATCCAGCGCCCCAACCACGAACCACCATGCCACTGGCTGGCCCATGAGATCTCACTACCAATTCATGGAGAAAGAAAAGAACAAGGTGAACGATGCCATTAGGAAACAGCTGGTCAAATACAGCATGTGGGGTCAGCAGACGGCATGGAGGTTAAGACAGCTGGATCCCACATGGTCAACTCCTTG